GTCTGTCCGTCTGTCCGTCCGTCTGTCCGTCCGTCTGGATGAACGCAAGGATCTCAGAAACTATAAAAGCTAGAATAACCAAAGTTGGCATCCAGATTCTCCTAGGTCCGAGTAAGGACGAGTTTATGTTTTTTTTTTAATTTTCCCCCCCTTCCCCCGCTACAGAATTTCGTCAATAGCGTCCACATTTCAAATGCTTCCTAAACCAAACTTTGCACACATAATTAATATATAATTGTCTACTATTGTGTAAAATTTTATTCAATTCGGTCAATTCTAAGAAAAGTTATTAGCAAAACAAATTCTCGCCAGTACAACCCCCACAAACTGCAGCAACAAGTTCGCTCTTCTTCTTCCTCTTTTTGCTGCTGCTATGGGCGCATATAACTCAGTGACGGAAGTTTACCTGGGTACAGGGTATTACACTGTCGGGCTTGCTCGACTGTAGCGTTCTCTCTTGTTTTTTATAATTCTGTGTCTCAATTTACAATATAAACTTATTAAAAACGAACTAATATAGTACATATGTAAAACTCTGTTTAGCGACTGTTTTCTTTCAGTGACTAGTGCTTTAGAAATAATTAACAATAAATAAATAACACTACAAAGAATGCAGATACTTTTCAATATTGTAATATACAATAATTTGTATGCTATTTAGAGAGAGTGGTGCATCGATTTTTACCATAGTAGGTATACAAATTAATAAATTTGTATTTAGTTGGTTTTTGTTTAAAACAAGCTGTTAGGATTCAACGCTCAGGCGGACGCACAGTGAGGCAAATAGGAAAACCTGCTCGTATAACGATTTATCTCGTTAGGCTGATCATTCTTCTGCGTTTTAGTTGGAACTCCTTACTATATTCTTTCATCGTTTGGAAAAAGGGTGTAAAAATAATTCCTAATGCTAAGAAATTTGTCCTCCAATCCAATAGTTTTTCAAAATTTGTATAACTGAGAAAAAAAATCGTAGTTTAATGAACAGTGAAAGGTATATGAGCTATGGAAAATGCCTCTTCGGATTTATTGCTTAGAAACAATTGACTAACTTGAATGTAGAAAATAAGATGTCAGCAACAAACACATTAAAAAAAGAAATAAATTAACGTATTGTTGTGGAGTTTTAGATTGAAATTGCCACACCCCTAGTATTATGCAATTGAACTCCCACCCACATATGAAACCCGTCACCGCTAATTACGACGGCAGCAATAAAAATTAACAGAAAAATTGTAAGCCAGCCGCGCTGCAAGCATTTAAATCGAATGTTAATTTATGCAATGATCGATAACATCCTGCGATTTAATGAACAAACGCTTGCCGCCCCTAAAGCAAAGCCAGTAGAGTCGTTGACCGCTCCTAGGTGCTCGTAAAAGCTGATCAATCAATCCTAAACGAGACGCAAGTCACAAATTGAGTCGCCTTCGAAGCGCTGAAAGCTGAAGAGAGAAATCAGCAACTTCCGTCCATGGCTTTGCCCTGGCGAAGGGATTGTTGCCCCTGCCATATGCATATATACTATATATTATATAGTATATGCGGTCGATCTACACGAGTATGATTGAATGCACGTCCGGGCAAGGCAGTCTTTTATGTGCCATAAAACAAAAAGCCAATACCATGTAGTAAGTACAGAGTAGAGTAGAGCTATGCGGGCTCTTTGTACAAATTAAGCGCAATTAGCAAAGGTAGGAGCGGGAGAGGGGATCGAGCAGGCAGGATCAGCAACAACTTGCATGATTTTAAGTCATTCAATAATTTTAAAAGTCACACTCAAGTGTCGTGCTCTTCAGAATGTTTGGGAACATCTGTGCGCCTCCGGGTCCGTGTAATCAAAAAATGTTCCAGACATTTGTAATGCGAATTTATTGCCGCCACCATCTCTCTCAGACAAGAAAACCGTTTCGGGAAGATGACTAAGAACTTTGTTGTTGTAATTTCAACAACTTTGCACCCTTTTCTTTCCGATTTCCGAGACAAACTCTGGCTTGGCTCTGAATGCTGCTGGTGGTGGCCAAATGACGCCGAAGGGTGTTGAAGTCCGACGAAGCCGACAATTGTCTAAGAGGAGGAGAGAAGGAGATAAGACAAGGCGTCTTAATTGTTTTTATTACCACATTAACAGCTCGGTAATAAGTTAAAATGACTCAATCTCCCATTTTTGGATTATCATGTTGGGTTGCTGCTGAAAAAGATGAAGTGAACTTAAATAGTTTTGGTGTAAACGAAATGTAGTCTATAATGAAATAGCTTCCAGTATTCATTTAATCGTTTAATATCAAATATTTTGGAAACTCTCCTAAACACATGGACTATCAATTTAATTTAGACATAAATTCAGATATCGCTTTTATCGAGACTTGGCCCGAAAGCAAGATAAACAGATTTTGTTCATGCTTTGGCTCTTTAAAATGATCTTCGAATATCTCTAACTATTAGATTAAAATATATAACGAGTATATATTAATATTTTTTACATTTAACTGCCTTTTAAGTTGGTTTCTTTGTTTAGTGGAACTTCATTGATATAAAAACTTTGCAGAGGCTAACTGCGATTCGTCTAAAGCCTAGGAGTAAATTTCTATATATCTGTTTCTTTACAAATTAGTTTCGAAAATTATTTTCGAATATCTCTAACTATTAGATGAAAATATATAACGAGTATATATTAATATTTTTTACATTTAACTGTCTTTTAAGTTGGTTGCTTTGTGTAGTGGAACTTCATTGATTTAAAAACTCTGCGATCGGTCTGATAATTGTAAAGCCTAGGAATAAATTTCTATATATCTGTTTCTTTGAAAATGTGTTTCGTAAATTATTTTCAAATATCTTTAACTGTTACATGAAAATATATAACGAATATATATTAATATTTCTTACATTTAACTGCTTTTTAAGTTGGTTGCTTTGTTTAGTGGAACTTCATTGATAAACATTCTTTGGCAGAGGCCAACTGCGATTTGTCTGATAATTGTAAAGCCTAGAACTAAATTTGTATGTATCTGTTTCTTTAAAAATTAGTTTCTCAGTTTTGAAGCCACATAATGCGCTGCAATTGAACGAAATGCGGCTTCAAAAATGCAAGGTATGGTTAAATAGGGCCTTTTAGACATTTTCTTAAGAGCCATGACAAATATCTTAAAACATCTAAGGCTGTAATGAAGGCGAAAGATAGTTTTTGATAGCTCTGGAAAGAGAGATTTTGAGCACCCAGTTCGGCAATAGTTGCTTCGATTTGATGCCATTAGAATTTTGTTAATGGGGTGCCATATAGAAGCGATGTTATGCAAACAATCCATTAACAATTCATTCGCCCTTAAGGCGAATATCGAGCAAGGCATTAGTCAGAACAAGAAACTAGAAACAGGATGCACTACTAAGAAGCTTTTTAGGGCAGCCACACAATGCAAACATGTTCCATAAATAAAGGAATTGCTTGCTCTTTCGAATAAACCAATATTATTAATTTTGTAAAAAGAATCCAATTTATCGACCATCAATCAAAAAGAAATTACTATATGGACCAGCCCATATAGTTGAAGATAAACTCTCGTCTTTTCTAGTGGACTCATGCAGGGGGATTTTAAAAATCAACAATATTGGATCAGCTCTGTTCATAATTTTATACATAATTTATTAATTAAAATATTTTCAACAAACGAGCCATTGGGGAATATGCTAGAAAGAAGAAAAAAGTATAAGACTTACAGCAGAAGATACACCCCACACTTAAGGAATTCGTTGCTTGTATAGAAAATAATATAAATCAGATGAATATAAATCCAACACACACATAATTAGTTGTTTTTGTTTAAGTTTTGCTAAATAAATTGAATTTATTTTGAAAACATAAGAATACTTAATACCTATAGTATTTAGTTGGTTTTGTTTTTTTTTAAACATTAAGAATAAAAATAGATTTATTTAATTTGTTGTATTTTGTTTTTATTTTTTTACATATATATGTAAGTATGTATAAATAAGTTAAAAATTTATTAATTAGACTAAATTCATTGGAATGATATAATATCAAAATATTTGCATAATACAGCGTTTAAAATTTCACAACTAACTAGAAGCGAAAACGTGGAACAAGTTTTTAATTACATTTTACAATAATGCATTAATTGTAGTTGCATATTTATGTGATTTATTGTTTGAAGTTAATTTGATTTACGCTTGTGGTTAGTAGGATTTATTTTTAAACCTTCCTTTCCCATCAATTAGAATGCTTAATAATTTTGGTTGTTGCTGTTATTCTTGTTGTTGTAGTTGTTACATTTACAGGAGTTTTCCGAGTTTCAATTGCAGTTTTCCACGCACATCGAGAGAGATACAGGCACACACATACACACGCACATACATAAATATATATAGGAATATATCTTACAAATGAACAAAGGAAAGAAGGATGAGGAAGGCAGGGGGGAATATAGCTTTTTTTTCTGGTGGAGGAGAGAGCTTGAATTTGTTTCGTGAATTAATTTATTTGCTTGGTTATTTCTTAGCTTTTGTCTTTGGTTAGTTTTTTGTTTTTGGATTTTCTTTTTGGCAACAATGGAAACTTTGGTTTTTACAATCTTCTTCTTTAGTTTTATTTCGCTTTTCATTTTCGTTGTTGTCTATTTCTTATTGAATTTATATCGCTGCCGGCAATTTTATCGGGCGGCGGAGAATAGAATTGGGTGACGGCGACTTGTGACGTCATCTATTGCACAATTGTTGTGGCTAGTGAGAATTGTCTGTTGTTGTTGTTGTTGTTATTGTTATACCAGCAGTGACACCTTCTGGCAATTCAACGAGCTCAGCTGCGCCGTCGGCGTCGTTGTGGACACCAAAGGCTGACCTTGTGGTGGTGGCGGCGGCTGTACTTGTTGTTGTTGCTGCTGCTGCTGCTGCTGTTGTTGCTGTTGTTGTTGTTGTTGTTGTTGATGCTGCTGTTGTTGTGCCGCGTGTGGCGCACCGCTCAGGCCCATGGCTGCAACGGAGCCCAACTCAGCTGCTGCTGCAGCGGCTGCGGCAGACATGAAGTCCACTTTTCCCAAGTGCACCCGCAAGTCCGTGTGCTGCGTCTCCTTGTGACGTCGCAAGTCCACCTTGCGCTGGAACGCCTTGTGGCAGAGCTTGCACGAGAAGGGCTTGTAGCCAGTGTGCTTGCGGGAGTGCGTTATCAGGTTGGAGCTCTGACTAAACGCCTTGCCACACACCTGACACTTGTGCGGCTTCTCACCTGGAACGGTAAGGAACAGGAAAAACAGTTGTAGTTATAATTATGATAGCATTTAAAAAATAAAATAAATTAATTGCTTGCTTGATCCGTTAACATCCTAAGAAAGTACAATGAAAACTCTCTTGGCCGGACTCTTACGTTCGGCCACTTTTTGTCCGCCCAAGGGGATACTTAAATACTTTATAAAACGATCGAATGTTTTAGAAAAAGTGTCCGCCGAAGAGAATGTCCGAATAAAAAAAAGGTTTCCGTTAAGGGAGTTTTCACTTTAAATATACGTATCTTGAACTGTCAATCTGGTACTCTAACAATATTTAGAACATATTGCTCTACACACAATTATTTCAAAATGAAAGCCATTTTATTTAAAGTAATCGAAAAATATATTTATGAAACTTTAAAAATCAATCTGTCATATTTCAGTATATTCAATATTAATATATTCCAACCTATATCACCCTAAATAATAATGAGATAGGCATAGAAACCTAAACGCTTTTCAATTTCCTAGTGATTAAACCGTCCATAGATTTGTTGAGTTTTTTGATGCGATTAAACGTGTGATCAGGGTTACATTGTCTTCTAATAATACCGAACGCTGCTTATTCAATTAAACAATTTGTTTCGTTCTAAACTTTACTTTCGAGTCAAATATTAAGTGACTTTTGATTGAGTTATTTATTTTTATAAAAAACTATATTAACTTTACTTTTGAATCCTCCTTTTTCTCCAAAAACATATCCAAATAGTTCCAGTTCTTTGGTAGAACTCCTATAATTCATTTTAAGTTGATTTTCCTTTATTTACAAAAACTATTTATTTATATAAAACTATATTAACTTTACTTTTAAATCCTCTTATTTCTCCACAATCATATCCAAATAATTCAGTTCTTTGGTAGTACTCCTATAATTTCCTGATTTTTAAATTTTAATTTGTTTTCTTTTATCTTTTATTGCTATATTTCTGTGAATCGGGGCATAGCTGGCCGTTTGGCAAATAAAATTCCCCCATCATGTTGGATTCGTTTTTAGATATTTTTGTCATTTTTAAATGTTTTTTTGTTTATTTAGTTTTATGTAGCTTAAGTTCTCTATTTTTTTTTTCTTTTACATCGACTGCATTGTTTGTAAATAAAATAAGAAAATAAGTTGATTTACCTTTATTTACAAAAACGGTGTCCCAATAAAACCGTGTACATAAGTATTTAGTTGAGCAGCAGTGTACTTATTGAACTGATTTGAATTTGTAATATTTGTTTATGGTTTACTTTGGATTGCAATGTTGCAGACCAAGAACAATCACACAAATATAATGACACGCCTGATTTTTACAATATAGTATGTGGTTTGCAACATTCTTTAGTTCGATGGAAACTTTACAGAGTCTTGGACATATACACAGCATGGCTGCCACCCTCAGGACAGCACGCACACACACATACACACTTGCAGCGCCCGAAACACCCAACACCCATCGTTCTTCGCAAAAACTGTCAGACAAACCCCCAGGAACAATGAATGCCATGCAGCTTACATATGTATGTGTGTCTATATTAATGTGTGTGTGCGTGTGTGTGTGTATGTGTGTGTGGTGTAAGTCACAGGGAGCATGAGCACAACAAGCCTTGGTGCTGGCAATGGCGATGGCGTCGTCTACAATAACCGCAGGACCTGTCCCCTCGCCCCAGCCTCTCCGCCAGCGCGCCATCCCCCAGAAGCAGTTTTTAAATTTTCAACTTTTTGGTTCATCTGTGTGGTGTTTGCGGTTTTCCATTTAAAGCGGAAAATGCTCACACAAATTGTTGAAAAAATCTCTTAAAGTGTTCGCTTCTATCTCCTGGCACCCCCACTTTTTATTCTACGCTTTTATTTTGTGTATGGAATTTATTGCACTTTTGCGAATTGTTAAATTTTCATTACAGATTTTTCTGAGCATTTCCTCTCGACTTTAATTTTGAAACGCTTTTTTGTTTCGCCATTTTATGACTCTTTTATGGTTATTTCCATTATCAACGTCTCATTTGTAATCAAATCTGAGAGACCGAGCTTGGTATGTGGGCTCTTTTGCTTTCCGTTGGACATTTTAATCGATTTTGTCGCAACGGCGCCGCTGCTTCCTAATTATTATCATTCGAGTCATTAAGCTATTTCGCAAAGCAAATGGAGTCAACTTTTAGATTGCGATTAGTGTTGATTTTAAGCAGCGGGATTAGCCAAATTAAAATGGCAAAGATTCGTTGAGAAATCAATGAAGTCTATGGCAAAACCATTATCATCAATTTTGTATTTAAGTGCAAAGATAATGTGACAACTGGAGTGGAACATATAGTATGTATGAGTGAGTGATCGCTGTGGACTCGTATTTGGTCATATAGTTGATTTCTCTTGAAACTACACCTAAAGTGAATAAAGAATGTTATGCTAATGAGAAAGATTAAATTCTAAGCTTAAAGAAAAGACTACATTTTTACTTAAGATATTTTTATGTTCAATTTCTTTGCTGCCTGACTAATAATTCTCCTTGGGATGTAGAAAGCACAAGCAGATTCAGAATTTATATTTTACTTTTAAGGAATATCGTAAACAATCTTCATAGCTATATGTGTTATTTAAAATTCTCCCTGAATCAAGAAATTGAGGTTGTCATTATCTACGTTCCGATTCATAGGCGACTGTGGTCGGAAATTATATTAGACCAAGCCAACCCAATAAAAAAGTAAATAGAAGAGGCAATTTTAATTTTAAATTATGAGTTATAAGGAAAAAAAGAAAGCATAGTCGTCTGACCAAACAAACTTAATAAAAAAGTAAATAGTGGAGGGAATTTTAATTCTAAATAATGAGCTTATATGGAAAAACAAGAAAGCATTGTCGCCTGACCCTTAAAAATGCTATAACTATGAGAACATCAAGTCAAAACCAAAAACTTATCCCGCTTAGGAGTGAATGTGAATACCGAGATACCGTTAAGAGAGTCCTATGAGTTTTCCTTGATGCAAGATTTATAATTAGAAGTTGTGTTAAGTAAGGTGGCAAACGAAAGTGGGGTTACTATTTTGTTTAATGTTGAAACCACGGATAAAACTGTATGTTAAATGCAAAAATAAACGTAATTAATGTCCCGATTATTTACTTGAAAGAAAAGCAACAGATGATCCATAAAATCAATATCAAATGTTAAGACCCAATCCGAAAAATGTTTAATAAATGCGCATTGCAGAATAATTTTGATAATCCCAGCAAGAATTTTCGGGACATACTTGTAGGTACCAACACAATAGCTTCCGTTCAATTTTCAATAGTTTGCAAGGTTCAAGTCTGCTTTACTCGAACGACTAGGATAAGCCAACATGGAAAAGGCATTTTCAATATAAATCATTGCATTTCTTCATAAAAGCGAAGAAAAGACTGGGTATGTTCAGGAAAAAAACGAAGACCTGTTTAAATCCTTAAGAAATAATAAATCAGTAAATGTACTTAACATTGCAGTCGTACAAGTATTTTGCTAAGTCGCAGTCAAGGTTGTCACTTTGATTTCGAAACATGCTCTATATAACGACTATTCTATATACATAGAGTACTCCTACTATATGTTTCTTATAATTTGTGTGTACATATATTTATATTTATAGTGTTGGTGCTCAAAATGTAGGCTTATCTATGGCTTTGCCCTTCTACTATATAGATAGAGATTAGAGTCAGTTACATGCGCCATCGGTAGGTACATAAAGAACACTCTACAGACATACACACACACACACACACACACACACACACATACTAGTGGAGGGCTGGAAAAACGGAAAAGTAAGCTAACTTGTAAAGGCTCTGGAGGATGAGTGACAGTGGAGGTGCCTCCAATGTATGTATATATGTATGTATATAAAACAGACACTAAGTATATATGCACATATATAGAGACTCAGTTGTGTTCGGGGTGCCATGTAAAGCAGAAGAATAAGTAGAAGAAGAATAAGAAGAAGCAGAAGCAGAGTACATAATGGAATTGCAGCGACGTGATTGTGAAACATTCGACCGTTGGGATGTGCTCTGATTCAACTTTTGCTCCCGCGGCTCATGCAAAGGCAGTCGTGGCCAGAATGGAGGTGGGTGGGGCAGCAAAGGGGAGCCGCCTGCCAACTTAACAGCAATAGTAGCAGCAACAAAATTTGAGTAGTCATGCGAAAGCTAAGGCACTATGTCTGACTCCGACTCCGACTCCGGCTCTGACTCTCCAGATGCGCCACACGGAGCATGCCTGGCGAAAATGTTGTGCGTGAACCCTTCAGCGCTTGCTCAGCTATTGTTGTTGTTGTTGTTGTTGGTGTTTGCTGTTGCTGACATTGTTGTTGTTGGCGTTGCTCGGGGCACGTTCGTGCACTATCGGCACAAATAACGTCACGTAGTCGCAGAGATTATAGAGCAGCTTTTATTATTTATCACAGCAAACGAGCGACGAGCACTAACGAGACCCAAAAATCCCGTCGGTCGTCCGTCGGCAAAGTCGACAGTTCTCCCAGAGATATATACTGTACAGCCAGACGGCTTATGTGCAAGATTGTTGTGGGTGGCTGGCTGGCTGGCTGGTGGGGGGAACAGGATTGGTGTGGGGACGGTGGATGGGATGTGAAGGCAGCTGTATGTGGAGATTTCAAGGATTTTTATTGCATCACATTGTGGAAATTCTTTTAAATCTTTGCTTTCTTCTGCGCTGGTTTCTCTTACTCTTCTAATATTTTATTTCAACGACTGCTGCTGCTGCTGCTGCTTTGTGTGTACGTGTGTGTGTGTGTGTGTGGTTGCAGCAAATCCTTTTCATTCAACACGCTTCATGCTCAAGCTATTTGCTTTTTGCTTAAATAAACTTCCATTTTCTTCCTTCACTCTTTCCTTTTTTCCATCTTCTTTATTTCCTCAGGCACGCACTGTTGTGAGAAAAGAAATAAAAACGCATACGCAACGTGGTCGGGCAAATTGATTTTATCTTTTAACCAAACTGAACATCGGATTTGATTTTCTTGTCTTAGTTTAGATGGAAAATTGTTGAATTGAAAATGTGCTGCTAAATTTGTCAATGTTGATAACATTTTGCTATTATACATTATTTAAATCCTCCTTTAATAAAGGATTAAACACAATTTAAAGAGTTTTCCAGCGTCAGTTAAAGTTATCAGATATGTATTTATCACAATTTGCGACTTTTAAGATCTTTGGGGCTTATCTTGGGAGATATCTTAATAGTTTTCGCAATATTCCTATATATTTAATGATGTCTTAAAGGATCTGCGCTGTTTCTCGACGCATAGCTTAGTAAAACTTCTTAGTAGTTAATGGATGCCTGCAAGGATTTTAAAACCGCCTGCCTTGCCACAAAAATGTTATTTAAAGCCTCATCCGCTGCCTTCCTTATTTTCGCCTGGAAATTACTGCATTAGTCAGGCAACAATTTTTATGATTGCCTGCATTTTTGTATTAGCTTTTCAAATAACTTTAAGTATTCAGTAGTTTTCCCCATTTTCCCATTTCATTCCCTTTTAAAAGCTGCTTCAAATCTTAAAGAGTTTTCGGTTTCGTTTAAACACTTAAATGCCGAAAATATTGATTTGTTTATTCAGAGCAACAAAAACTGTGAAAACAGAAATAAGAAAAACACCAACACCTCAACACTTAAAAGCAAAGCAAAGTGGGCATGAAAGTCGAGAGACAAACCGTAGTCATGAATAAATCTGTGAATGAGTAAAAAGCGGCAAGCAGAAAAATATCTAAAAAATTTATTTCCTCGCCTTTTATGGCGCATAAATACAAACACAAATACATACGAATAAAGAGAAATCTAAACTTCGAGCAAAACAGCCAAACGTGCCAGCAAAAAAAAAAAAACAGAAAACGAAAAAAGCAGGCAAAAGGATATAAAGCGCAGTCCAAAAATAAATGCGGAAGCGAATGAAAAAATGTAAAAGGCAAATCACATCAATGTGAAAAAAGAAAATCTGCTGCTTCTGGTTATTGCCAGCGACAGACACGCAGAAGAAGAAGAAGTAGAAGAAGCAAGAAAGAAGAAATGGGGCGGTGAAAGAAAATTAAGCACGGCCATAAGGAAAACGAAAACGAGATGCAAGCGTTAAATGCGGCCAAGACGAAACTAAAGGCAAACAGTAGAGCAAATCCTGAAACGTCAATGGGAGCCAGCACATGTGGCAAGCAAGGAGTAGTGAGAAGGCGGAAGCAGGAGGCAAATAGCTGGAGCAGCAGCGTAAAACTAACTGGCACTTTGGTTGTGCGAAGCTTGGGGCAGGCAGCAGGACCATAGATATGGGGAAAGCAGTGCGTTCTAAATCGAAGACGGCGAACGATAAAAATGTCTGGAATATTTGTGTGTGTTTTGTGTCTTAGTATGTAGCCTGTGTGTGTGTGCGTGTGTGGCAAGTTGCCTTCCACTGATTTAGCCAGACACTAAATATGGCTGCCACTTAATAGGGGGAGTGCTTGTCTGAGTTTGGCAATGGCTGCTTATTAGAGGTTATTATACTTGCAATTTGCAAACTGATTTGAAGAGAAGCAGCAAAATTTTAGAAGTTATTCGAGAAGGAATGAAGCTACACTCGAAACTTAGAAAAAAGAGCAAATATCTTGAGTTCTGCACGTTTTTGGTGAAGAGTGTATTTCAAAGCGGCCCGAATTTAATTCTTTATGGTTAAATGACGAAAAATTGAGCAACATACCGATGGACAAGAATTTAAATAAGCAATTAGACGCATCGTTTTTGGAGTCTTTGTGCAAGATTTATTTCTAGATAGCTACTTTATTTAGAAATTTTCATTGCATTTTATAGCAACTATTTCATTAATAAAATATTTCGATATAAACACGAAAAGAAAATGTAGTTATAATTCCTGTTCTATTTAAGAAACCTTTTTATAAATTTGTGCATACAACCCAATTAAAATTGATTAATTTAATAAAAAATTAATGATTATAGTACAACACTTTCTAGAGACAAAATTAAGTTGTTAAAATTATTTAACAACTTTCAAAAAGCACGTAAATCTATGAGTAGGTGACTCATAATTGAGTAAAATGTATGTATATAAGTGGGAATTTGCTTAACATAAAAGACTTGTCTGTTTAGTTTGTGCATAGATTGTCAGGATTTAGATTGTACAGGCTCGATAGAAGTCACAAAGTTTCCAAACAGAGTACCAAAACAAATTATTCATTTTTCATCACATATTCAAAAACAATTTGAAGAGCATACGGGCTTGATAGAAGTTTCAGGTTTCCGAACAGAGTACTTATTTATTTTCATTCCAAATTTAAAAACAATTTGAAGATAATAATTATCAAAATTACGCCGTCATTTAAAACGTTAGCGTAAAAATTTGTCAATATTTTACATTTTGTAAAGATTTTTATTAGCAGAGTGCTTTTATTTAAAACTGTTCATCGTGGACAATCATTAAATTTCTTAAATAAACTTGACGATTAATTAATTCATTTATGATGAGGTTGATTTTGTAAAGAAGTGAATATGTTTAAATTTAATCTTTAAATAAATGAGATTTATATTCAATTAAATTCATTTTAAATAAAACACATTTTTAACGTTTTAAATTGCTAAACAGCACGTAAGAAAAGCTATGGCATTTTTAGAAACCAAGTAAAGTGATTTTTCATCTTTGAAACTTTCGAACTTTTGAAGGAAGGCATGTTTTGCAATATGGAGGACGAAATGCTATTTATGTTGCTAATAAATGTAGTTTTATGTTCCTACTACTATGTGTATTTAACTATAAAAAACAAAGTTATTGCTGAAATCGATGCCTTTGGAGTTGAATTGCAATGGCGGCACGATTTTTAGCGTCGGCATTTTTGTTTTTGGCAAAGCTTTGGTCATTGGGGTGTATCTTTATACACAATATTCTTATACACACACACACACTCAGTTATTTACGCACACAACGCGCCATCGATGCATGAGAGTGTGTTCGTATTTGTTATTCGTGTGTGTGCGCGCGTATAAAACAGAAAATCAAAATCTCTTGACTAAATTTTTCATTGGTTGGCTGTGATTTCTCTGCCTTGTCCGCTGCGACTGTGTGCGTCGTTGTCGTCATCGTCACTGCTCGCTCTCACACAAAGGCGTTGCTCAGCTTTGCCACTCAGTTCGCGAGCCTGTGCATGTGTGTGGGTGTGTATCTGTGTGTGTGTGTGTATCTGTATCTGTGGTCGTATCTACCATATATACTATATTTCTCTACTCCACGTCTTTCCAATGCCTCGCCAAGTTTTTCTTCATACACACATTTGTATGTATGTGTGTAGCATTGCGACATTACCGCCCGCCTTAGTCCTCCACTGTCTCTTATCAGCTGCTTGTGCCTGTGTATGCGGGTGAGTTGAACTAGTGTGCGTAAGTGGGCTATTTCTCTCTCTCTCTCTCTCTCTCTTTTGCTTTTTTCAGAGCGCATTCTTAGTTGTAAGCTCTCTCGTCCGCTGAAGCTTATCGTCTGCTTCATTTTTTGCACCCGCTCTTCGGCATTTATTGTTCTTGTTCTTATTCTTGTTATTGTTGTTGTTGTCGCGCCAGCTCTAGCCGTAGATGGGGACTTTATGACTGTGGCTTGGCTTTGGTGGTAGTGGTGGCTTGCTCTGTGCACTTTAATGGCGTTCCTTCCTGGTTATGTCTCCCATTTGTGTTTATGGTCGGGATTTTTAAAATTATACTCGAAAATGCTCGCCGCCCCTTTTATAGACAGCGACATTATTAAAGAGAAATTTACAAAGCGAAAGTTGTAATCAGGCCATGAAACTAGGTCTATGTGGATTTGTGGTAACGACGCGTTAAATGTAAAAATTTGGTCAACTAGATGGAGGGAACGAAAGCAAGAGATACTAAGAAACTTCCATTGGTATAAGAAATGCCATTCGATTTGGATATTGTTTCAGTCTCAATTCAAAGAAACTGATTTTAGATGAGTAATGTTAGTGAAATGAAAGGCCAGAGCGTTCCTTAAGGCTATTTCTACAATTGGATACAATGTTAAGATAATGTGCTGCTGTCCTCCAGAGAAGCTCTTAATTTATAGTTGATAAAGTCCAAGAATACTATATTTCTCATTGAATTTAATGTCAATGATTTTGATTATATAAGTATGTCAACCGAAGAATAAAGGTCTTTAAAATAGTAAAATGATGACGAAAATTATAGCTCCCGATTGATTTTTCAAATTTGGTTATTATTTACTATCGAATTATGCCAAACCGAAATATTTGTGAATCCACAAATAATAAATTATCTTATAGGATAAATCATACTTATTATTTTTGAACAATTTGCAATAATTCTGGATTAACTGCTCCTTATTAAATTTTATTTCTAATTTTCAAGCAGTATTTAAAACTATAATGTTGTTTACCGATTATTATTCTCAGCAAAAACTTATCTTAGAAACTAAACTTTACACCATCTCCAATCTTTCTTTACTGCTTTAATATTTCAAATTATCATTCCGCTCGGGAGCTTCGAACCACATTATAAAAATTCAGATTCAGTTCTTTATTCTATGTTAAGGAAAACTTACCCGTATGTATATAGGTGTGTTTCTTCATATCACTCTTTTGATGGAATCGCTTGCCGCAGTAGCTGCAGGGATAAGGCCGCGTATCGCTGTGAATGAGCAGATGGGTGGAGAGCGTGCTGGAACGTTTGAATCGTTTGCCACATTGTTTACACTCGAAGACCTTCTCCACATTATGCACCGCCCTGAGAATGGACAAATGAAGCGCAGCCCAGTTGGCCAAGTTAGAAAACGGCAACAAAAACGCTACACACACACACAGAACACACACATGAAAAACAAGTGCCGGTAATTAAAGTGTGGCCCCCACAATTCCCACAGGTGCTCGGAACAAAAGGACGACCTGTGGCAGGACACTAGAATTTTAAATACAACCACAAAGCAAACATTCGGTCTGGACAATGTCCGTCCAGTACAGACAGTGCAAATCCGCCTTTTTAACTAAATTAAGTAACGCAAAACTGTCCCAAGCCGCGCCTCCCATTCGCCAGCTCATTAGGAATGCAAAGTACTCTGCGGACGGACCAAATGTTTGTGGTCTCAGTGCTTCACATACCTGTGCTGACTGAGGCTGACCTCATGGCCGAAGGTCTTGTTGCACAGCTCGCAGGCGTAGGGCTTCTTGCCATGGTGAGTGCGGCGCGAGTGCACCTCGAGGCCGTGGGGCGTGGAGAACATCTTCTCGCACTTCATGCACGAGTACAGGTCGCTGAATTGGTGCAGGCCCGGCCACTTGGCGGCCATATGATGGAAGTGCAAATGTGGCGCATGTGGCAGACCCAAGTGTCCAGCACTGGGTGGAACGCCCACCGAGGCGGCAGCAGCAGCAGCCGCCGCAGCCGCGGCACTCGCTCCATTCTGGCCAGACTGCAGTGGCACCATCAAGCTGCGCAGCCTAAAGAGATCTTCCTGTGAGGCGGGATGGTAGCTAATGTTCACAACAGAGAAAGAGCGAGAAGAGAGAGAGAGAGATGGGGGGAGAGAATTAGACTGGCATTTCATTAGACTAATAGCCAGAGAGTGTTGCCAACTGCTGTTTAAAAAGAAAGCTACATTTTCGCTAAAAGAAGCTAAAGTTGCTCAGAAAACCGACTTTAAAAGATAATAAAAATATTAAATAGACAAAATCCTCTATATATTTAATTGTTTTTAATTTATCAATCCTTTTTATATATATTTACAGCTACCTCTAATATATCAAGCAGGTTATATTTTCAAATTTATTTTCTTTTTTATTTTTATTTTCTATAGTTCAAGAATGGCAATGGTTTGAAATTATGTTTGTTTTAAAAAAAGCTAATATATCAAGCAGGTTATATTTTCTCCCTTATTTTCTTTAGTTCAAAACAGGCAATGGTCTCAAATTGTTTTAAAAAAGCAATTATTTTATTTTCACATAAATAGCAAAAATAAATCTCCGTGAAAGTGGAACCCACGAATATTTCGTATTCAATGGATTTAAATATGAAAACTTTTTGCTATTGCCTAAAAAAATGTATAATATTTAATAAATAATTTACGAGTCTGCAATTAGTTCGTACTTTATTCGAGTACAAAACAATATAAGCTAGGCTTCAATCTGTTCTCTGGTTCTCTGCTATTCATGGATAATTATATACTTCACTATATAAATTTTTGGCAACACTCTTGCTATAATTATAAAAATGTTCCTACCTGGCGCCCAGTCCGGATTGCTGTTGCTGTTGTTGGCCTTGATGGAAGGCGAAGGCAGCGAAGAAGGGCAGCGCGGGCGAGAAGAGCGGACGCTGAAACATGGGCGCATCGTAGTTGGGCGGGTAGCTTTGCCGCATGGCCTCCAGGGGATTGGCGGGCAGTGTTAGCGTGCTGGTGGACAAGCTGACTGGAGGACTGCGTGCCGCTCGCTTCTGTGGCTCATCGCGGCGCAACAACGCCGACACCGAGAACAAATCCGAATTCTTTTGTATGGTGCTCGTGGTGATGAGCAGCTCGGAGGCGGCGCTGGGCGAGCTGATGCTGGGACTGCCCGGTGGCGAGTCCACCTCCAGCTCAACGGAAGAGCTGCTGGAACGACTGTGGGAGCGAGAGCGCGAGTGCAGGGAAGGACGCTCGTGCCGGCTGTCTGCATCGTCCATGTCGATGGGGGAGCTGCTGCGTGAGGCTGGACTACGCGACCTGGAACGGGAGCGCGATTGACGCAGCTGCTCACTGGCACTGACCACGTAGGGCGTCAGCTTGCGTTGGAGTATTTGATGGTTTTTGCTCAGCATCGCGATGGAATTATTGTTGTCCTCGACGATGGGCGTCGTCGTTGTCGTCATAGTCGTCGTCTGGGTTGGCGGATGCGAATGCGAATGCGGATGTGGATGCTGGGGAGGCTTCAGCGCGGCGGCGGCTGCTGCGGCCGCTGCCACGGCTGTCAGGTGTTCAGTCTTGACCAATCTGCTTATGCTAAAGGCGAGCGCAGCATCTGCAAAGGGAAAGGGCGAGAGAGAGGTGGGGATGCAGAAACGTTTAGCGAAATCAAAGCAAGGACACAAGGCGGCTCATCACATCATTAATCACACACATACGCACACATACGCACACATACGCACACACACACACATGCGAGCGAACGCACCACCGCCCACCTGCATGTGTGTGCCATTTGGCAGCATATCGAATTTCAAATGTAATTATTTTCGTATTCAATCGCATAATCCACCTTACATGACCATTAATTCACCCTAATCAAGCGCTCATGTGACGTTCCACATTCGCCATTGGCAGTGGCCATCAACGCCTCGTCATCACCCATCACCCAGAGACCGAAACAGAAACAGAAATAGAAAAGGCACAAGCGGGAACAGCATCAGCATCAGACTCGGAAGATGTACACCCGACAAAACTCCTAATGTTCGTTAGCTTCAAATATTGTACTGAGTATTGCACAGGCTCACAATTCTTCAGCTGAAGAAAGCGAATTTGAACAAGTTTGCAAAACAAGCGATTAAAGCGAATTAAAAAAATGGAAAGAAGTTTTGGACGTTCTCTTTTTTATACATTGTTTATTTATTTAGTGCATCTCCACCTATTTTCTTAAGGAGCTAACAATAATTATTGAGATCTTATTCAGTTTTTTTTTAAATAATTATTTTATTGTATTAATGCTAGACGGTTTCTGTAGTGTGTCGCTGGACGTAATTACACCCTAATTTATTAGCTTGAAATATGAATTATCAGCTGTCTCCCTCGGACTGGAGTGTATGTAGACTCGGACTGGAGTGTTTGTAGAAATAGTAAATTGTTTAACCTCTAAATCATCGCAAATTTATATTTTATATTCGGTTATCAATTCGGTTATAATAAAGCCCTTTAACCTTAAGCAATTCAAGCTGTTGGCTATTTATCGAAAATCGGGTTAGCCTGTTTCCAAAACATTATTTAAATTTGCCTTAAAGTTCCACAAACAAATATTCTCCTCTATGCTTAGCTAGCTGGAATGTTGTTAAAATTCTAATATTTAGAAATGTTTTAAACTACAGACAAATAATTTGACTGAAATAAATTAACTTGCACGACTTTATATTTAAAAAAGAAACGGATTTGTACGCAAAATATTAATTTATTCTCTGATCACATTGAAAATTACTTTCTGTTTGTATGGTTCCATATACGACTCATGCTTTTTTTAAAATTAAGTATTCGATTTTGGTAATCCTCCAATATCCAATATTCACTATATTAATGACTATTAGAAAACAAGTAAAAAAGCTAAAGTCGGGTGTCCCGACTTTGAAATACTCTGTACATATGTTTACAATAATTATAGAAAATAAAAAAATTAAGAAAATAAAAAAAAAAATTTGATCGATTTTACCTCTCTCGGTATTCGAACTCACGTAAAGGGTGTATAATTGCGCATTTACATAGCAATTGCGTCTGTGTGAGTGTATGTATGCCTATGCGCATCTATTCGTGTCTGTGTAAGCATTTTCGCAGTCAACCAAACAGCAACATCAACAACAGCCGCGGGCAGCGCTTGAGCAGCGCTGCAGCAGCGCTGCATCAGCAAATATATTTATGGCTATAACTTCTTGTTAAATCGGTCTATCATAATGAAATTTGGCATACGGACACATAATAACCAACTGGGGGTATTTCCAAAATTTTAGTTCGAAATTCCAAGAATTACGGGAGTTACGATTTGCGGGGTAGAGGGGGGAGGGAGGGGAATTCCAAAATATACATTTTCTGCGTATTCACATAAGGCATCTGGGACTAAAATTTGGTGTTCCTAGGTCTTATAGTCTCCGAGATATAGGCGATTATACGAATGGAAAATCGGGAAAACCCCCATAGGGGGGAAGTGGGGGGGAAAATCAAAAAAATAAAACAAACTCGTATAGAATACACACATAACGCATCTTTGTGCAAAATTTGGTGTCTCTATCTCTTATAGTCTCTGAGATCCAGGTGTTCATACGGACGGACAGACGGACAGACGGACAGACAGACAGACAGACAGACAGACAGGGCTAGATCGACTCGTCTCGTCATGCTGATCAAGAATATATATACTTTGTGGGGTCTGCCACGCCTCCTTCTGCCTGTTACATTTTTCAGCTCCCGCAAACCTAATATACTCTTGTACATTTCATGTACAGAGTATAAAAAATTGCTGAGAATATAACTATTTTTTTGTGCATATAGCATTTAAAGAGAATTTATTTCATTTTTTTACGAAACAGTTATAAAGTATTCGATTTTGGTAATCCTCCAATTTCCACTATTACTATAATTAATGCCTATTAGAAAATTGCTGAGAATATTTATATTTTCGGGTACAGAAAGTAAAGTGAATTCATTTCCACTCTTTCAAAACATTCACGAGAATTTTGTGTGGTGCACAGGCACGTTTCGGTGTCCTTACAAACCGAAATAGAATAATAATAATGCGCGTTTAAATAGAACATCTGTTCGGTCCACACTCGGCTAAATGGAGCATGACAAAACAGAAAACACACAAAGCAGACGATGTCGTCCACCGATACGAGTCGGTCGACTCGTCGACAACCACGATATATTCGCATTATATAGTATAGTATAGCAGTATAGTACGTGAGACGCAGGCGCGAAATACAGACAGGAAAGGGGTATGGAACACGGTCAAGGGGGTGAGCGGAGAGGGGGAGAGACGGACGAAGGCGAATCGAATGAATGAATACGCGTCGCAACAAAAGAATAACAATTTGACAACATTCTAATTCGTTACGCAGATAAAAGTTGTCGAGCCAAAGGAGAGGGGAAAAGGAGGCTGTATCCGGGATTTTGAGGCTAAAGGGGGCGGGCTGATGCCATTCTGTGCTGCGGCTTTGATTCCCGGCTAGTCAGTGAGGCGGCAAACGCAAAGCCAAATAAATATAAACAAACTCGCGCAGACACACTCACACTTACATATTAATGTATGTATGTATATACAAGTACTCGTGTATGTACATACATAGTATGTGCTGTACGCACTTTAGTTACAAGACCACATCCAACAGATACAGATGCAGATGCGTCGCCGCCACTGACGATGACAATGATGTGAGAAACTGTTTTCTTATTTCTGTGGCATGATAAATGGAGGGAAAGCCTGACAGAGTGTCAAGTGTTTTTATTGCCCGTCTGTTGTTGATGTTGCTGTTCTTGTTGTTGTTGTTGTTGTTACTCTTGTTTTTGTACGCTTAGTAGGTTTTTTCGAATTTTTGGTTTTCCTTTTAAGTGCTTGAGTTTATGGAAATAAGCGGAAGCGCTCGGCTGTACATGGATTGGCAAAGCATTGCGTCCTAAGCCAACAGAGACAATCGAAAATACTGATTTGCAACGATATATTAAACTCTACATAGAAAAGAAAATGTAGCTATTGTTCCTTTCTTTTTCGTTTCTTCACATTTATGCCTGAATGAATAAACATATGTATCTATGTTTATTTCTGTTATATATAACTAGCTTACAAATCGGCAAAACGGATTGTATAGCAGGTGCTGTTTCCGATTTTTTTGAAAAGCCTATAAATAATATGTTACTCGTCGTTGAAATCTTAATTTAAATAAAGCCCAAATCGCAAACGTGATCTCATTAAAGTACTGATAAGTCTGGCTTATATCTAATGTTGTCAATTGAAATATCTTCTCAGTAATGTCGCTCGAAAATAGTAAATATTGTAGTTTCTATCCTAGAACAGCTGGTTCTTCTTACGAAATAAATAGTCTTGAATTAAAGAAATGGAACAAGGAATCTGAATCTCAAATCAAAAAACCGAAAAGTGAGATCTCATTAAAGTAATGTTATGTCTGGCTTATATCTAATGTTGTCAATTGAAATATCTTCTCAGTAATTAGAACAACTGGTTCTTCTTAGAACATAAATGGTCCTTAATTAAAAAAATCGACCTAGGAATTTGAATCTCAAACCAAAAAATCGAAAAGTGAGATGTAAAAATATTATAATTTTGAAAGATCTTAAGCATCCGTTTTTGTTTAGATTTTCGTGGAAAAATACATTTTCAACAACTGGAGTAATAATAAACATTTGGCAATTGGAATCAATATACACCTCATTCTGTTTTTACACGGTAGATTGATTCCAGAAAAACCGTGTAAAAACGACAAAAATAGGTGATTGGTTCCTTATCTCTAAAATCTATTAAAAATCAGTGAAAAAGCAATAATTTATGTTTATTTTATTAAATCACATTTATAATATGTATAGCGATCCACATAAGAATGGTTTTAGCTGTCTCTTAGCTGTTTGTGTTTTAATTTATTTATTTTGTGTTTTATTTTGAATCGGCTAAATGGAATGAATTTGAGAAATCATATATACAATGTTTATTTTTCAAACCGCGTTAAAACAGAATTATTTGTAGCATATCCTCATTTAAAGACTTTAATTCATTACTATATAGTACTGAGAATATTCTCAGGACATTTATTAAACTACAGACAATTACATAACCATTCAATCTTAATTCAATAAAGATCATTGCAATCGATTTATGTATTTTTTTAAAACTACCTAAAATGTGATTACAGCAAATTCAACCCTTTACGACTTTCCGGTAAATACTTAGTATTGTAGGAAAAAAAAGTATATCAAACGAGTGTAAAGGATATTTGTTGGCATCGAAAAAAAGTCAAATTTTAATCATCGCATTACATTGGATGCTGCATCAACCCCCAGTCCGGAACCCTTTCACTCTAATTATGCACACAATTGTCCCGAGAGCCTTTCCGCGCTGTCCACACCAAACGCAAACCCAAACCAAATCCGAATCCAATGCTCGAAATACCAGTCAGCAAACGAATCAAAATCAAATGCAACCACCGACGCAGTTTGCCGGAGAGGGCCAAATGTTTTTCAACACATACTGGCATTTTACGTATATACTTGTACATACATATAGCAGGAAGGGGGCCTTGTGCGAATATACTTGTATAT